GACCCGCCGCTGGAGCTTATGGTGTGACGAAGACCCTCTGCTGGCTTACCCGTCCACCCCTTTAAAAACTGTAGTTTCGTAGTATATAAACACACATGAACCTGGGCGAGGGAGAAGAAACAGAACTTGAGGCCTTTCTGTACGAAACCTTCAGAGCCTAGAACTTTTAAATGAATATCAAAATTGAATTGATACCTGTTAACCACCCCCCCTTTAGTTCCTTCAGTGTTCTAGAATCTGACGAAAGTTTTTCACCAAAAGACTTCTGCTTTATTTTCTGCTGCCTCTTTCTTCACCGTGATTTATTTTGCAAACTTATTACCTTTTGCGGTTAAATTTGCATGAACAGAGATGTATCTCTGTGTATATTTACAGAGATGTATCTCTGTGTATATTTACAGACATGTATCTCTGTGTATATTCGCCGAAATGTATCTCCGTTTAAATAAACAGAGGTATCTCAATGCATATTCGCAGATATATATCTCCGCGTATATGCAAAGAGTATACGTTGTTCATTGTTATTGTGATATTGATAATAATTGGATTTTGTCACTACACCTGACAACACTTACTGCTGGCCACTAGTGCAGTCTTAAATGATGTTTATGTTACTTTATACAGTTAAAACTGTGTGTGTTTTGTGTGTGTGTGTGTGTGTGTGTGTGTGTGTGTGTGTGTGTGTGTGTGTGTGTGTGTGTGTAAATGCTCACTATATTCCTTTGCTGGGGGGTGGAGACTCAGCTCCTGGCGCTGCTTCTTAAGCCACTCTGATCAGTATTATTGACTTCTGGCTTCTTGGCCCGTATCATATCTACTCTTGAAAGTGTGTTGAGTTTGCCTCCACCACTGCCTCTTCGAAGTCATCCACTTTTCAACCATTCTTGAGATTAAAGAAATAATTCCTCGAATCCCAGTGCCTCAACTGTGTCTTTACCTTCCACATGTGTACCCTTGCGCTCGCCTAGTTGAGGTTGCAGGGGTCGAGTCCAAGCTCCTGGCCCCGCCTCTTCACTGGTCGCTACTAGGTCACTCCCTGAACCGTGAGCTTTATCATACCTCTGCTTAAAAGCTATGTATGGATCCTGCCTCCACTACATCGCTTCCCAAACTATTCCACTTCCTGGCTACTCTGTGGCTGAAGAAATACTTCCTAACATCCCTGTGATTCATCTTGTCTTCAACTTCCAACTGTGTCCCCTTGTTGCTGTGTCCCATCTCTGGAACATCCTGTCTTTGTGTGTGTGTGTATTTTCTGTTTACCGTATTGTTCGGTTAAAGAAAGTGTTAAGTATTGAGGTCAGTATGTTCATATTGTATATTCCGCTTGTGTTGTATGTTCCCTTGTGTCCTCGTTTCTTGTATTCTTCTCCTCTAAGTCCGTGATCCTGTATGTGGTCTGTCTGCCTCCCACCGTCTGTGATCCACTGTGTCATGCGTTCCTCCCAAACTCCATGATGCGGTGTTCGTCTTCCTACATTCGTGACTACTTGGTGTGTCTTGCGTGCCCCCTTACCTCCGTGCTCTGTTGTATGTTTTGTCCCCCTCCTGACGTACATAATCTGTTGTCCTGTTGCGTTCCCTTCCCATTTCCGTGTATCCTGTGTGCCTCCCTCCCCTAAGTCCGTGACATGTATTATTTGGTACTACTTACCTCCAGAGAGTCGTGATCCTTATGTGTTTGTGTAGACATTACCCTGTGCTTCTTTTCCCTTCATGTAACCTGTGTGTGTTAGTTAGTTACCATTTTGTCCTAGGCACATGCCGATTAGACACTAGGCCTGCTGTATATGCGAGAGTGTGTGTGTGCGTGTGTGTGTGTGTGTGTGTGTGTGTGTGTGTGTGTGTGTGTGTGTGTGTGTGTGTGTGTGTTTGTGTGTGTGTGTGTGGTTGTATGTGTGTGTGTATTGCGACCCCTGAATGGGTCACAATGTATATAATGTATATTACCTGTTCATATATATATATTTTTTTTTTGTGTGTGTGTGTCTTGTATTAAGCACGCCATAATCTCTTTCAAACTTGCATGGACTTTTTTGACAATATTTTTGCATGGAGTTTTGAGATTTGAATGTCGAGTAAACGTCGTCTTCCTTTAATAAGTCGTGTATCCTTTACACTTTGCAATATTAATAAGAAATTATTACTCTGGACACTTACTACACTGAATCACCTAATTTTTTCCCCAAGTGTGTTGCAATTAGCATTTTTTCGTAAGATCATCGCGTTTGGTAATCAAAGGATGATTTATAACTAAAGATGTAAATTCATGGTGTTGGTCTTGGAGAAGAAAAAATCTTTGGCTCAGCTTGTTTGTGAACTACGAGTACACAATTTGACGTTAATAATATGCTACGGCTAGATTAATTTGCCTGAAATACGTTGTTAGGTAAAAGAACACAAGTGCAACCAATGTGGACAGTTTATTGTGGCAATAAAATGTCCAGCCGTTGTAGCTTGGTAAAGCTCCTGAAGAGCGAAACGTTGCCACAAACCGTTTTGATAAAGCTCCTGGAGAGCGAAACGTTGCCACAATAAAATGTCACATTAGTTTCACTTGTGTCCTTTTACCTAACATATTGTCGGTAATTCTACGAACATTATTACAATTTGCCGAATACATTGCATAATGAGTGGCTTTCTACTGTGCAAACTCTTGTATTAAATTATATATATCTACTGTAATATTTCTATAGCTCATCAGAACTATATATTTTTTTTTTAATTTTAACACACAAAGAAATGAATGGGTCCTTTAGTTGTGTAAATAATCTTATGAAAAAATAATAGATACAGCACGAAGAAAGATTTACTGAAGTTAACCTGGTAAAACTGCAAGAGAGAATCAGAGTTATGAACATTATAATAACATATGAGATGGGGATGATGGATATAAACAGGATGTAACGCTGGGAGAGCCACTGATGACAGCTAGAGGAACAAAGAGCCGCTTTGACGTTAGGTTTTCAGTCTTGGAATGGAGAGTAAGTAAATAGCCCTAGACGAAGGGGTGGGAGGCCATCATGCACAGTTTCAAACGTAGGTATGATCGGACCTGCAGACTAAATTGGTAAAATCGGCCAGTACTAATTAAGAGGCGGGGTCAGGTGCGACTCGATCCTTGCAAACACAGTTGAGTACAACTAAAGAGTAGACATATTGTGGTAAGAAAGGTTTGAACCCCTCATGAGATGCTGTCTTTAACACACACAGGCTGCGCATCACGGATTGGAGACGGAGAATTCTCTTACTGTATGATCCCAGGTGAAGATGAGAGATGGCTAGCCTCTTAACATTCCCAGTAGAATTCATGGAGGGATCTTCATATCCTTCTTTTGTAGTTTAATCTCTAGGTCTTTCTATGACATTTTTGTTTCTTGACATTTTTTTTTTTTTTGACTCAGTTTCGGAGTTATAGTGGAATATAGGTGTTGCTCATAGCAGCTCACTTCTGTAATCGGGAAATCAAGCTAGGCTCTTAGTAGCTATATAGAACACTAGGGATAATGAATCTTAACATTTGTACAAAAATGCAATTAATTATGAAAAAATAGTGTTTTAAAACTATTAATATACAAGGTATATATTATGCAAAACATACATGTAATCTAGTAAAAAATATTTAGAATAAATACAAGTTCTAAAATCGAATTTAATGCTCATTAATATAAACAAACAAAAAATTCGATTATCATACATGAAAAAAATAAAATTATTACATAGTTTTTAACGATTATACACCTGCCTATGACGTCCAGTGACAGTATATGATGAAACACTTACGTTACTCAGCCATCTAGGACGATGTAGGTTTGTACTTGTGGAACAGAATTTACAGGTCTGCCTGTCCTTGATGAAGACTGGGGCCTGCAACAGTGAACAGTGGAGTCTGATGGAGTCTGGAAGCAAGGAAATATTTTTGCCCTTTTCTTGGTTTCGGTGAAATATTAGAAGAGGATCTAATAAAGAGTCTGGACGGCTTCTTTTATCTTGAAAGATATGGAAAAATCCATCACAGAGTCTTTGAATGACATATTATCAACCTGGAAGGATTTTCAGTTTTTTTTTTTTTTTTGGTACAGAAACCAAGAGTTACAAACACACAAATCAAGCACTTAGCCGTAGATCCGCACATACTATCTTCTGGCTCTCACAGCAGTCTTGCAGACAGGTGAACGTTTCACTTTCGTCTTTTTCGTCAATGCTACTCGTGCCAGGAAACCTTCAGTTTCTTCTTGGCAGTGGCATAATAGCAGAGGACATTGGAGATCGGTTCAAATCCAACATAGTGGTTACCTTTCTCTCCTCTTCAGCTGAAGTGATCATCTCGTCCCCTTGGACTGATTCATTTCCTTGGAATCCTGAAGGCGTCAGTTACCAATTCCGTTTACCTATTGCTGTACCGGCATATCTTCGCTTGCTGCTGAAATACTTTACATCTCGTCTTCTTACCCAGGCCGGGCAGGAGTTGTCTCTGTTTCTCCGGAAATAATGAATAATTTTCACTTTTGGACAGATGCAACATTATTCATTTCACGTGCCATAATAGGTCTCTGGCAGTTTTTAAAATTAGTCTGTAGATGTAGCCTATCCGGGCTAGAGGAATTTGTTCAGCAATGTCAATTATAGAGGAATGTATTGCTAAAACACCATCTTGGAAAGAGAATATTTTTTTATGAGAAACTACGTATAAGATGTTTGTTAACATGTGTATTGAAAAAAAAGAAAGCGCGAAATAGCAAAATGTTTCCCCTTAGACAGGTTCTCTACTGTCCGTCATATTTTTATTAACATTTTTCTACATACGCTATCAGTCCCCTTCATCTTTTTTGACAAAGTTTACGCCCGTTAAACTTCCATTACTTCTTCCCAAAGTCTAATAACCCTTTTCTTCATCATCCTATTAACTCCATCTTCGTCTTCAGACACGCTGCAACTATCCACCTTAACCTTCCCTTCCTGACCTTCATGAACACTTCATCCCTTCTCCCTCCTCTCAGATTTCGAGCTGACGCCATGCAACGGGGACGAGCCCTTGGTGAACCCAGCCACGGGAAGGGACTTCTACTGCGGGAAGGGCCCTGACACCGAGACTTGTCCTGCTGGAGCTTACTGCCACTGGACACTCTCCTTCGCCAAATGCTGTCCGCTACACAAAGGTATTATGTTACGGGTTCCTCTACAAGGCAGAGATGGCTGTCCGTCCCTTGCCTAAGGGTACCGTCGGAGGTGCCTCTTGCCTCTTCTGTCATCTTCATGAAAAAACTCATGAGGCTGTTGATTTATATATATATATATATATATATATATTATATATATATATTTGTCGTGCCGAATATGTAAAACTGGTCAATTAGCAAGAACTCATTTAAAATTAAGTTCTTTCTAAAATTTTCTCTTGTACGTTTAAATGTATATATAACATATATATATATATATATATATATATATATATATATATATATATATATATTATATATAATATATAACAAGCACAATTTATTTTAGCCTAATCCAACTAAATATATTTTAGATACGTTTACAATAATTTAATACTAAACAAACACAATGATATATATTTTTTCGTTAGGTTCAGAATGATTTTTGCGAAATTATTACATACACAAATTTTCGCTTGTCTTATATGGCAAGATGAGCGTTGCTATTAAAGCCAAGATCGCAAGTTTTACATATTCGGCACGACATACATACAAGATAAATCGAAATTTTTCATTTTTTTATGATTAAATATTTCTTTTGGTACTTCTTTACGTAATGCATATATACGTAGCATGAATGATGTTTTTATTTTGTGTAAATATCAATGTATTTAATACATTTTACAGTGGCTCTTATGTCAGTAATAAGACTCACGGAAATTGGGATTCTATTTAAACCTTACTGCTACTGAAGTCTGATATGAATGAATTATCAGCCCCTTTCAATATCTAAAATTTTGTTGTATGTTTCCTTATAATAGACCAGTATGTATAGTTTGTGGCCTAAATTTATAATTACTAGGTAGGTAACAGTATGAGCATCTTGTACCAAGTTGCCAGATAAATACGTGTTACCAACATGCTATGGAATTTCGAAGTCCCTAGTTACTGCATTGACTTCATATTGTTTATTATTAATATCAGGTCAAAATATTACATTTTCACAAGATAGTTTCACATGCACGGAGATATTTTTCCTCCGCGTTTTTATCTTTTTTATCTATATTCAAATGTTAAGTTTCATTGTTCGTCAGCAAAGGTTGTATTTTGGCTAAACTTGTTCTAACTCTAACTTGTAACTACTACTGCGATAAAGCACTGAATCGAGAATTTCAACCGTGGTACAAAGTTACTGAAGGAGGTCTTGATGTGAGCCAAAAATGTAAAGCACTTGCCTTGTTTGTGTCATTGAGGGTTGTACATTACACTTTTCTGATTGGACTTTGTAAATGATGTACGGTGTTTGTTTCCTCAGAAGAGAACAAGACAGAGATAGGACCCTCGTGCCAGCAGTCCTCCTACGGCTGCTGTCCTGACAGACGCACTCACGCTCTGGGACCCAACTATGCTGGCTGCCCCTCCATCTGCCAGTGTCATAAGGTAAATGGAAGAAGGGAAGGAGTAAGTGAAGTCCTTTCGTCTGTAAAAACTTGCATTTGTGGTCACAGTGGTGCCTATGCTAACCTTCCTATGGTGTATAAATATACCTAGTTGGATGATTCTTATTGTGGTTAGCTGGCCCAGTGGCTAACGCGTAGGTCTGGAGTTTTGAGACTGTCTGATCGCGGGTTCTAACCCCGCCCGTGGTATGGTTTGTTTGCAATCGTGTCATTACGAGCTCGTGAGTCATGACAGTTCTCACTGAAGACCTCAGATTCATAACTGAACATTCATTTTCTTACCACTCGTAATCTAAACATTCGTTTTTCAATGTAATACAATGCCTGCGTCCTAAGCACTGTAATCATTCGTAATACTTCCGCAGAATACATTCTACGCAAATATTAAGAATGTTTGCATTCTTAATGTTTGCATAGAATACAAAATTAGAAATATTAATACCTGAGGGTTAATAATCCAGGATTATTTAATAAATTCAAGCAGTATGGCTTATTTCCTTTGGAATCCTTGGTTCCTGTCCCTCTAAGATGCGACCTACTAACCGGTAAGAGAATAGAGGAAGCCGGCATGAATTGCTAAATTAATATTTTAAAGTCACCCTGATCAGAACATAACATCATTATAGGTCAAGATGTGAGTGACTGGAAGCTGTTCTTAAATTATGTTCACTCTTACCTCCTAATTCTCTGAATAAATCTCAGGTTTTAAATTGTGAATCTCTTCATAGCAAATACTTGGTAACAAGGTAAAAAGGTACTTGTGTATAGTTCAGGACATTTATGTAATAAAACGTTTCGCCACGAGTAGCTTCCTCAGTCCTGAAGAAGCCACTAGTGGCTGAACATTTTATTTTATAAATCTCCAACATAAGTGTCGTTTTCCAAATTAGTTGGTATCACCACACCATTTACTGTAACATGTTAACAAGGCATTGTATCCTCAGCTGGGTGCCCATGACGAGTCGTGTGACCCGGTGACAAACCAGTGTCGGTGTAAGCCTGGGGTGGGAGGCACCAAATGTGATCGTTGTGAGCCGGGGTTCTGGGGACTGCCAAGGATCCAGCACGGCAGCAAGGGATGTTTACGTGAGTACCCCCCTTCATACTTCATTTTCTTTTATTTACTCTGTCCAGTGCTGTTTTCTAAAGAGTGAATATTTTTAATTATATTCAATATTTTTCTTAACGCAGATCATCTTTACATTTGATGATTAATGTATCCGACAGTTGATATGTAAAGTCTAGAAATAACCTTGACACCCCACCCCCCAGTTATTCTGCTCTCTGAAATACAGTGAATCAAACACATAACAATGCTGTGTAGTCCATAAATTCAAGATAGTCTTAATAAGATTTCGTTCGGATTTTTAACCCCGGAGGGTTAGCCACCCAGGATAACCCAAGAAAGTCAGTGCGTCACCGAGGACTGTCTAACTTATTTCCATTGGGGTCCTTAATCTTGTCCCCCAGGATGCGACCCACACCAGTCGACTAACACCCAGGTACCTATTTGCTGCTAGGTGAACAGGACAATAGGTGTAAGGAAACGTGTCGAAATGTTTCCACCCGCCGGGAATCGAACCCGGGCCCTCCGTGTGTGAAGCGGGAGCTTTAGCCACCAGGCCACCCCACCATGAACGACTCAACATACCTGCTACCTGCCAGGACCACGGTTCGATTCCCCTTCCATTCTTGTATTATATATATATATATATATATATATATATATATATATATATATATATATATATATATATATATAATAACAACCATAATTTTTTTGTAACTAAATTTATTATACTGACAAATCGTGGCTGGAACAACACACACAACCCGCACGTACGAGACTTGAAACTTAAGACGAAGTTCCGATCTAACTTGCGCTATTAACTAGTCACACAGGGCAGTAACAAATCGTTACTGTTGTTAATAAATCAATAACTTTGTAAACAGGATATCACTACTGTAACTTGCTTAGCTAACAAAATATTGGGGGTCCTGTCTCTGGACCCATTACGTACCCATATGATAGTTTGATTACTACTCACAGAATTATTAGTGATTTCACTCAAATGAATGTGTATAGCGTTTACTGAACAGAGGATGGGTATGGGGTAACTACTGTTCACATGATGGGTATGGGGTAACTACTGCTCACATGATGGGTATGGGGTAACTACTGCTCACAGGATGGGTATGGGGTAACTACTGCTCACAGGATGGGTATGGAGTAACTACTGCTCACAGGATGGGCATGGGGTAACTACTGTTCACAGGATGGGTATGGGGTAATTATTGCTCACAGGATGGGTATGGGGCAACTACTGCTCACAGGATGGGTATGGGGTAACTACTGCTCACAGGATGGGTATGGGGTAACTACTGCTTACAGGATGGGTATGGAGTAACTACTGCTCACAGGATGGGTATGGAGTAACTACTGCTCAAGGGTGATGGACTGATTACATCGTCTTCACGTCTCTTCTATCAACTCTTCTGTACTCGACTGAAGAAGCCTACTGTGTAGACGAAACGTTTCGAAATAAAGATACCTAACTGTTGCATATGTGTCTTGCCTAACAATACACAAATAACCCGCACATAGGAGAAACTTATAACATTTCGGTGTGACTTTGTAAATATAATAATAATAATAATAATAATAATAATAATAATCTTTATTTCTACAAGTACATGTACAAGGTATACAGTCCTAGCTGACATCAATGACATACTACTATATAGAAAGCTGCTTGTTATGTTGAGCATTTCGGGCAAATTAGGTCAGTTTTGTCCCAGGATGCGACCCACACCAGTCAACTAACACCCAGGATGCGACCCACACCAGTCAACTAACACTGATGTATGAACATGGACAACAGGTGTCGTCTTAAGGAAACACGTCCTGATATTTTCCAGAATCCAGCTGTACCGGGGATTCGATCTCCGGACCTCAGTGTGTGGGCTGATTGCGCTAGCGATTTAGCTACGGGTCGTGCCAAAACATCGTCGTAAGTTTCTCTATGTGCGGGTCATTTGTGTATTAAAAGTGATCTAGCATTAACATGAACAAAGTGAAGACCTGTTCTTTTGAAACAATCATAATCCTCACTGGTCAGTATTATTTTGTAAGGGATCATTTGCTACAGAAAGGTGTGTATCACAGCAGGGTAGTGGGGTTTAAGTGCATTTGTTGCATGCGCACTGATGAGAAACACCGTTACTGTGAACACAAGTACTACTGTTATGTGCATACGTCTTGTACAATACATAAATACTGTTATTACATTGTAGACATGCTGGTGTATTGTTTGTGGTTTGTTGATAGAAAAATTTGTCCTGGTGTTTAGTTTCCCAGTTGTTTCTTCTCTACCCTTCTCTATCGTCTGTCTCTCTCTCTCTCTCTCTCTCTCTCTCTCTCTCTCTCTCTCTCTCTCTCTCTCTCTCTCTCTCTCTCTCTCTCTCCTTCCTTTCCTCTCTCTTCTTCCCCTTCCTACCCTTCCATTCCTCCGTTCCCTTTCTACCCTTCCATTCCTCCTTCCCCTTCCTACTCTTTCATTCCTCCTTTCCCTTTCTACCCTTCTATTCCTCCTTTCCCTTCCTACCCTCCCATTGCTCTCTCCTTCCCCTTCATACCCTTCCATTCCTCTCTCCTTCCCCCATATTCCTCTCTTCCCCTTCCCCCCCTCTCTTCTCCCCTTCCCTCAGCACCATCACCATAAACACGATTCAGTATCTTTTATGGACGCAACTCACGCCATTCTCGTTATAAACGTGAAAAAAGACACTTAAAAGATTTACACTTCAACTTGGTTTACACCAGTTTACAGCCTGTAAACAATGTAATAGCATTCCCTAGTGTTAAGAGCAGAATTGACTGAGTGCGGTGCGCATATCACGTACAAATTTTCACCACATTCTCGCCTGTAGCTCAGATATCGTAGGGCTATAATATACGTCTAGAATAATTTAACTGTAGGCAAAAGCAAAGTGAAAATGAATACACAGTGGATTGGCGGATACATTGATCAGGTTAGTAAGTTTGTTTAGGTACAGTTACACAAATCATACATAGTATAACGCATTTGAAAACAAGAACAGTGGGAGATAAATGATAACTCTAGGCCTTTCGTGTTGCAATCAACACATCATGAAGAGCTTGCAATGTTAGAGAAACGAGTAGGAAGTCCAAGTAGATTAGTTCAGGGAAACAATTTCTAAATCTAATGGGCTGTTGCTTTCTTGAACTAATTTGCTTGGACTTCCTACTCATTTCTGCAACATTGCAAGCTCCTGATGTTGATTGCAGCACGAAAGGCCTAGAGCTATCGTTCAACTCCCCCTGTGGTTGCTTTGCAATGCTATTATTGCATAGTAACATACGTGTAAATTGCCTAGGATTATCCAAAAAAAGTCAAAGTGACTTCTTTCTATTAGGGTTTGGTTACCACACAAATACGCTGGAAAATTTCGACCGTAGGCTGAACAAATACACGAGTGGAAACAGGTATAAATAGACGTTCCCTCGCATAGACTAATTGGACTTACTCCGTTGTCTCCTTTGGATCAAGCCTTATCACCTTTAATTCCCCACTTGTTTAATAATTAATAATAATAATGATAAAAATAATAATAATAGGCTTTTGTTACAGAGAGCGCATTTTCATCTGTAATGTAATACCTTACAGCATACTCTCAGTGAGTTAGGTAAACTAGTAGAGAATTAAATAATCTCGTGTGTATGCATATTTATGCAGGTGTTGACGTTAATATAGAAGTGTAGTAAATCATCGTTAGAAAGTACTTGAGTAAGGTATTAGTACCATTAGAGTTCATAACCCTCGTTAAATTACTCTCAACCTGAACCGATTACCATTTTAGCGCTGCAGTACGTGTAGCCGCCGGTAATTGTGTATGGGAAATGAGGTATGTGCGTGGGAGGTCCACCTGTTCCACCCACATGTGTCTGTGCGTGTGTTTGTGGAAACTACGTATAGCACACTGCTTGTTGCGTCCAGCATCTATTCAGGGAAGTTGTGCAATTATCTTATTTCTCTTTTTGTGTAATTACCAATTTGAGTTCAAGGAAGGTCAACCTCCGACTCGTAAGCCCTCCTACTAAATTTTGATTGTCGTATATTAGATAGATTATCTTGACATTTGAATCCCTGTGAGTCTGCTTCTATTACTGTATTTATCCAACTTCTTTCTGTTGTTTTAAGTAAGAGCAGTACGTACAAGAGATTTTGTTAGGTGTACATTGGAGTACACGGAAGAGACAGATACAGGAGGAATTTAGAGTCAACAGTGACGCTATCTGATAAGCAAAACCACGTGCAACGCTAGGAATCTTTTGATGAATTAGATATATGTACAACATATGGGTATCTTTTTTTTGACGTTTCGCCATCCAGTGGTTTTATCAATACAATACTGGGACATAAACGGATGACTGTGGAAGTTAGTAGTTATAAGTTTGTTTTAAGGCTGGCAGAAATGTTCTGCATAACTAGGGACTGTCTGTGAACTATGTCGATAATGACACCTTTTTCGAATCAGTTGTAAACACTACTTCCTAGAAATAAAAGTGGTCATTTACCACCATCATAACACCAGTGTCTCGCACACATTTGTATAAAATACATTATGATTTTTCGTCTGTGCCTTTTCCTCTATTCATCTTTGCCTTTCCTCAATTTCTGTTATTATCTTTACTCAGTGTTGAATGATGAAGATTGTTCCTAAAAATCCACATTATCACAAGCTTTATAATTTAAGTAGCCCAGATCAGTACTTCCGCAATCCATTTTTCCCCATAAAAATTCATACCTCTATTTCTAGTTTAAAACCCTGACAGTTCTCTCTCCACTGAATTATCCATACCCCTCACACGTGTTCAAGTGATCCCCATCCCTGGCATACATATTATTTCAGCCATAGAAGTGGTCTCAGTTGTCTGTGAATGGTACTGCATTGTTCTTAGTGTTTGTCCAGCCAGCAGTTAACACCAATTGCCCTCGACAATCATTCATTTCCAACTCCTCTCCTCTCGGCAAAATGTCATATATTACAGGTTGCTTTCCTTTCCTAATTATGTCTGTCGTTGACCTATACCTGCTAGTCAGGTCCTCACTCTTACGCCTGCCAACATCGTTGCCTCCAGCATTGAGACATAATAGGACTAGTACCATTACCTCCCATGATGCCAAGATGGCTAACAATATCCTGCATCGCAGCCCAGGAAAACACACCCTCTGCCTTCCCTTCCTGCTCTAAGAAAGAACGCCCTATCCATGAATTCAACCTGGGAATCTCCAAGATCAAGAGCAAAAAACAAAAGAACAGCAGCAACAACGTTTTACCTTCACTGGTTTATTTGGTGTGACTCGTCCTCTCACCGTCATCCCTCACCGTTGCTACATCAGTCACTTTTCATTCGTCCTGGAGTGCAACAAAGTTGTTAGTGGTTGCCATCTCTCATCTTACCTTTTGATCTTCAGCTTCGTTCCTTTTCTCCCTACCACTGCCCAGCTTCCTTCGTTGTCCTCAGGATTCACCACAGGATTACTACGAATCCTCTTATTTTCATCAATCAGTCGCCATACCTCCTAACTTTCCCCAACTTCTCCTTCACTTGTTGATACAGCTGCTCCACTGAAAGTATGGTTGGTTCTATTCACACTAAATTCACAAAGTACGTCCTCACACGATGCAGTTTACCTCGCTGCTATACTCAAGTGCCCTTTTCCACAAATTGAGTTTCTTACGCATGTGCGTAAGCGCCTGTGCACCGTACTGCTGTATGCCTATGGTGGTCAACCTCCAGTCTTGGCCACACCTATTAACCTTCATTCAATTGAGTCATTTAGCTCTTAATTTTTTAGACTTTTTATCATATCGTTTGAATCCATAAGGGAGTTTTTTTCCGAGACCCCAGACAATTTTACTTGTTCAAAGTTCATACATTAAAAAATACATTTCGAAACATCCGTGCGACTCCTCCAGATGTTTCGTTTACGTCCTCATGTCTAACAATCTATGCATGTGTACCTTTCTACTTTCTTCGAGGTCAGGTTCATGCCTTTATTATTACCAACTCCTCGCTTCTTTATTAGTGAGGTTCAGCTCTCGCTTCTTTATTAGTGAGGTTCAGCTCTCGCTTCTTTATTAGTGAGGTTCAGCTCTCGCTTCTTTATTAGTGAGGTTCAGCTCTCGCTTCTTTATTAGTGAGGTTCAGCTCTGGCTTCTAATTTTTTTCAAGCTTTACGGCAACAAGGCGCTTTTTTTTTGGTGGGGGGGGGGTTAATCTTGGGTTATTAACGCTCCGGTGTTATTAATCTGAATAAAATTTTCGTGAGTGACTAAATGCGGACTCTTCAGTGATAAATAAAACACCTGTGCAACACTTGTGTATCTTTATCGTGGAAACGTTTGGTCAACCAGTGACTTACTCAGCAGTCCAGTAAAGAGATCAACGGTGGAAGATGTAAAGAGGAAGTTTAAGGTTATCAGTCCCTCAGCTTGGTTAAGGAACATCAGCAACATCACCCCGATTACCGCCCACAGGATGGATATGGGGTGACTACCGCCCACAGGATGGATATGGGGTGCATAATGAAGGTATTAAACTAACATCACTTCCCAGTGATGGTGCTTGTATGCCCTAACGCTTCAGCTCACATACAGTGTTCGTGGTTCAATCCCCGGCACGGGGATCGATCCACAAACATTCTTTACACTTGCTTCCCCTGTTCATCTAGTAGTAAGTAGGTACCTGGGTGTTAGTAGACTGTTGTGGGTTGCAGCAAGATTAAAGGACCACATTGGAAATGAGACACAGTACCAGATGACGCACTGACTTTATTGGGTTATCCTGGGTGGCTAACCTTTCGGGTTAAAAATCGGAACAGAACCTTATCTTACCATACACCCATTACATGGGTGATAGTCGAACTGGTGTGTATACAGCTGATGTTTCCTGCCTTTTGTGTTTTTATTTTATAATTTTCCTGGAATTATTTCCTTTCCTATTAATATGTTATTGTCTGTTGCCTTTTCCTTGCTTCCCTGACTGTTACTCTGCATTTATTATTGTTATACTCCTACAATCACTTGCATAGTTTCTGCAGTTACTCCATTTCCTCCCACATTTATTCCTCATTCCTATCCGCATCTGCAGTCCTAAAATAGTAACACGTGCATTGCATTTTTCAGTGAATTACATAAAGATTCTGATCCCTTGTGACCTTTTCTGGAGCCTTCCTGTGATTCACAGCATGTGGGTGCTCGCTCTTTGGGTCTGTGAGAGACGACTGTGAGCAGATGACAGGGCAGTGCGTGTGCAAGCCAGGCATCAGGGGTAAGAAGTGCAACGGGTGCCCCGAGGGACTAGTTCTGAGCCCTAAGGGATGCCGGCACCAGAGTGAGACCACCCCAGCACCCCGTTCTTGTGCCGACCTCGAGTGCTACTTTGGAGCCAGATGCCAGGAGCATGACAGACACGCAGAGTGTAAGGTGAGACCAGATGGTGCCTCTGGTGTACCTCCCTTATTCTTTTTCTCCTTCCTCTTTCCTAAAGATTAGCATTTCAAACTATCTACTCTAAATACAGTTTATATATCAAGAGTTTTAAATTAATGGTATCAATAAATAGTGATGAAAGTAATTGTCGCAGTAACACGAGTAAACAGCATTGTTTTAACTAGTTACCTCTTCATATTTGGTACATCCTTCACTTAATGAGGCACTCGGTGGCTTTTATGTATGTCAGTGTGAAGCTCAGTGCCCAGAGGACTCCTCTGCAGCGCCCCCTGTCTGCGGTTCCGATGGGGAGACGTACGCCAGTGAGTGTCACCTTCGACTGTTCGCCTGTCACTACCAGAAGGATGTGGTGGTGGACGCCCTAGGTCCATGTCCCTTACCAGGTGAGAATTACATACAAGGGAGCAGAGTCACACCTGCAGCCTCACCCCCTCGGGATCTGCATGTCCCTTTAAGAGCCTAGCAGCATCATATAGACTATTGTTCCTTCAGACACGCGGTTTAGAATTACTTGTGATGGATATGCAGGAACTGATAGTTAATAAATGAAAATTTGTGAGAAATATGATAATTTCCTTAGAGCAACATTTTCTTTAGACAGTTCCTTCAAAAGATATTCCGAGTGGGTGAGAGGCGGGATGTAGAAGTAGGACGGGAGCGGGATGATGGTTTAACAGTAGGATGGAAGGGGAGGGATAGCACGCTTGTGTCTGTGTCGTGCCACGAACACCTGCACTACGCCCTCTTAGCCTCGCTCTGTCCCAATTTTTGATGCACCTTTTATTACTAAAGAGGACACAGCTGGTGGGTTGGCGGCGCTGCTGGAGTCTGACAATGCCCAGCTCAGCCACATACTCCAGGTTGTGTCCCAAATATTACCAAGTCTCGGGGAATGCCAACAATGCTGTCACAGCTTTGAATATTGCATTACTCGGTCGTTAAAAATGTGTGGATGTATGTATACATGTATATGTATGTACACACACACACACACACACACACACACACAGCTAAGACTCGACCCCTGCAACCACAAATAGGTGAGTACACACACACACACACACACACACACACACACACACACACACACACCACACACACACACACACACACACAGAGTGAGAGAGAGTACAGTACAGTATAATTTCTTTCTGCATGCATATTGTCACGAGTTTGACGACTAATAAAAACAAACACACTCATGATGCGTCATTCAGCTTGTCAAGGAGGAGAGTGAAGGAGAGTAGCAATAAGTAACATACATATACGAGATACATCTTCACGTGGCTGTGAGTACACAAGGCTAAATGACTTACTTGGTCTTTCCATATATTAATTCTGAATATAACCAACATATGAAGTCCTGCACTTAAGTTAATATCACAGTCAGCATCACAGTCTTCATACATTATAATTATCATGGGGAGCGCTAAACCCGTAGGAATCAGTATTTATACAATATAGCACTTAAATTTCGTCCAACCATGACTTTGTGTGCAATTTGTTTTTTAAGCTTTTAATCATTTGTTGTTAAAACATTCACATAAAGCGCTAAATCTGTATGAGTCATACAACACCAAATTAAACAATAAATAACAAAAAAAGGCACAATACCGTGACTGGAACGATACACAAATAACCCGCACATAAAAGAGAGAAGCTTACGACGACGTTTCGGTCCGACTTGGACCATTTACAAAGTCACACTGTGACTTTGTAAATGGTCCAAGTCGGACCGAAACGACGTCGTAAGCTTCTCTTTTATGTGCGGGTTATTTGTGTATAAATTAAACAATCATTGTGATAATTAAAATCTTACATGGATAAACAGTTTTCGAATACTGGCCACATCTGAAGATATTATTGCGTTATTTAAATCTTAAATCTAGGCTCTTTACTCTCTTACATAAAATTATCACATTTTGTAAAAAAAAAAAAAAAAAAAAAAAAAAAAATTATACAATCTGGAAAATCACAGTTGTCTTACATAATTGGTTTTTTTTTGTTCTGTTTGATAGTGTAAATAATATCAAATACTCCTATATGAAAATGAAATAGATGGGCATCAAGAAACGAAAAGAAATTTCGAATTTACACGAATGTTAACTATGCAAGAAATCAATTTTCTCCCTTTCCGTAAGCTCATATAGCTCTCTTCCTGAGCTAGTTTACACTTAGACTAGCCTTGACATAATCAGGCAACCTATTCCACTCCTTTATTGCTGTGTAATAAAAGGTGTTGAAGGCTTGACCACCTACTGTAAGTACCACAGAATTGCGCACTCTTTACTTTGTACTATAATGGCTTTGGTACCTAACCTTATTTACAGCAGTTGTTTTACTCTAGCATAATACTGCAAAGAACACGAATAATCTACGTGATATTGTACAAGAGGTAGACATATTGTATCGCGAACCTCAGTAGGTATATATTGTGCCTGTCGGTAGAGGAACTTTAACCTCCCATTTGCTCTTTTTACTACATTATTCACTATCAGTTCCCCTGATATGCTGGAATCAAAGAGTATACTCAAATATTTCACTGAAATGTACTGTTGTGATGGGTTCCCATTTACACAGTACTTTGAAAATATTTACCCACTTTTCAGTTTTCTTTGTGTACCAAAGAGTATGGCTTCTGTTTTTTTCTTAAGTGCAGCGATAGTTTGCTATCTACTAACCATTTGCTGTAGGATTCTAGTTTCAGTGGGACTTTACCTGAGACTAGGAGAGTGCTATCATCTGCACACAGTAGATGTTCATGCCTAATGCCAGTGGGTATATCATTCATATAACACAGAAATAGAAGGGGACACAAAATACTTCTTAGGGGACACCACAAGTTATCAGCAGGGCATCTGATTCTGTATTATTGACCTCGACACTTTCTTTCCTGTTGCTAAGGTTAGGCTTAAACTCATCTACACAATGCCGATAGCCTGTAGCTTCTTACACACTGTATTTTGATAATCATACACAATCAACAATAGGTAATTATAAACAGTCATCAATATTCTTGAGGGAATCCTTGATCAGGAATTGTTTTGGCATCTGCTAGTAACATTTTAGAGAAAACATTGATGCTATAAATTCTGAGCAACGGAGGAGTGCAAGGAAAGCTTACATGATATATTAGTACCAATATACTAGTTTGGAGTTGTGTATAGTTCCTTATCTGCAACACTAGGATATTTTATTCGAAACGTTTCAGTCCTAGTACCTTGGTCATTACATTAAAAGTCTGCAATGCTGATAAGTTCAGCAATAAAACATATGTGCAACACCTGGGTACCTTTATTGATGAAACATTTCACCCACACATCAGGCTTAACTTAATACAAAGGCATGAAGATGGAGAATATATACTGGAGCTGCATTTTATACCCTTGATGTAATAATCCATGTATGATGCAGCAACATCGTGGGATTTTAGTGCAGAGGATATCTTCCATAACTCGATTCCTGACTTCTAACCCCATGTTATGGCCAAGACCTACTTTCACTAGTGAGTCCCATCCCCTTGTGCTCACATCTGCAGCTCTGTTGTTAAATCTGTATCCCACCTTATGGGTCTTAACTAGATGGCCCCGCTTATATGTGACAATGTCTTTAACTGCTACACCTCTCCTCTGGTTCCTGTATGGAAATTTCCATTTCCATGAACTTTGTTAAGCCGTTACACGGCTTGACAAAGCTCCTGGAGAGCGAAACGTTGCCACAATAAAAGTCACATTAGTTGCACTTGTGTTCCTTTACCTAATAGATCGATAAATCCTGATGCACAAGTGAAACATCTCTTTAACAAAGATACCCAGGTGTTGCACAAGTATCTTAATCATCTGTTTATCTTTTGGATTGTAAATGGCTGATAAATCATTGAAAATTACAAGAAACACCACTAACAATCCATAAGATGAGGCGCTTCACCCCCCCCCCCCCCCAAAAAAAAAAGAATAATGTACTATTCTACCATAAGAACATAAGAATAGTGGAGCACTGTAGTAGTCCTACTGGTCCACTTCTAGGCAGGTCCAGCTCGCACAAACTCAAGTATCTATCCAACCTATTTTCAAGTTCTTGTTTCACTGAGGCAGTTTGTTAGTTTGAGTCATTTAAAAGTATGTTGCCAAACCAGTGTTTTCTTATAACTTTTCTAACACTACATATGACCAACATGAATCTATTGCTTTAAGTCTTGTCTTGATTAAATATTTTCAGTACGTTATTTATACCTCCTTTATTATTCCATTTTCCATTTGTACACCCTAGTTATACTTCCATTATTTTATGCCTTTCCAGAAAGTGCAAATTCAGTGCCATCAGTCTGTCTTCAGTACATGGGATCAGCTATGAAATCCTTTCTCTGCGTTTTTTCCAGTACATTTATTTCCATTCTGTTAAAAGGCGACCAGAATTGTACATAATAATCTGAATGAGACCTTTCCAAGGATGTATAAAGTTGAAATATAACCTGAGGACTTCTGTAATTTATACTTTTTGATATAAACTCCGGGAATTCTGTTAGGTTTATTATGAACATTTATGCACTATTGTCTCAGCTTCATATTTCTGCCAACAAGAATTCCTAAGTCTTTTTTTTTTTCATTCATTTTAAGATCTACATTATTTAGTTTATATGTGCCATAGTTATTTTCTTTTCCCAGAATTAAAATCTACAGTTGTGCACATTAAGCCTCATCTATCAGTCCTTTGATCACAATGTCTGCATATCAGTAATCAGAATTTTCTGTTAAATTGTTCAAATTCCTTTTATGTTAAAATCTCCCATTTAAACTAAATTTTTGCGTGTAGATCTCTTAGCAGTTTTGTGCCATAGATGGTTAATGTGTTCACTGTCTAGGATTGGAGGTCTATATATAACACCCAGAATTAACTTTTCACGCTCTTCGACAAGCTGCAGCTCAACGGATTCCATGTCTGTCCTTTCTGCCTTTATATCTTTTCTGACTCGGATTAAATTTCCCCTGACATACATGGCCACTCCACCCCCTTTCCTGTTGACTGTCGGTGTGGAATAATTTATAACTCTCTCTGTGGTATTCAGTAGGCATGTCTATTTTTCAGATTAAATCAGGTCTCGGTTATTGCAATAATATCCATGTTTCCTGCACATACAATTAGTCTTACTTCATCTGTTTTATTTCTTGTGCTCCAGTATTCGTATAGTAGACGTTAAGGAAGTGATTATTTCACCTCTCTCCACTTGTCTGCTTGTTTGTACACCAATTCCTTTGTTTTTAACCTGTTAAACTTCTCCAAATTCCTCCTCTACACAAAATGTTAACATTATTAATTACCTTCACTGTGTTCCTTGAGAATGTGGACGATGCATCATGAAAATACCTGGGATAATTGTATCTTT